CGTTAACTATGTGGCTTTGCTTGCTTCGTCTCCTTTAGCCACCACGGCAATTCTGGGAGGTCGATGTTCTCACTCTGTAGACAAGGAAAATGACCTCGGGAAGGTTAAGAAATGAGCCACTGGCACAAAGTAAATGGCAGGTCCAGGATTCAGACTGACTGACCCCACAGTCAGTCTGTTTGATCACAAAGTTGTTCCACCTCCCAAGGGACGTCCACTCTCCAACCTCAGATTGCTTGTTTCACAGAGTGGGTCAGGTCTAATGATACTGAATTATCTCCTGGCTCTGACCTTCGGCCATTCTTAGCTCTTCTCTTGTTCATGTCTGGAACCTGGAGGTGGCTGATCCAGGAGGATGGGGTGTTTCAGATGGGTGCACTCTTTAGGACAGGGGCACATCCCAGCAGGGACAACGAACTCCCTTTTATCCCAGTGCAGCCTGGCTTCAGATACAGGCTTCTGCCTGGCTCCTTGGGTCCACCCCATCCATGTCAGTGACCAAGAAAAAGCCCAGCACGTTGGCACTGCTTTGCCAGTTAATTTCTAACTAAGGAATCTCTTGCTACCGAAAGGTGCAAAACAGAAGCCTTGCATTTCCAGGCACAGGTGTTACCCCCAATGTCACATTTGGGGTCTCTAGCCATTAGGAAAAAGAACAACAATCTCACAGCTTGAAAGAGGCAAACATTATGCCAAAAGGAAAAAAATATTCCACCTCCAAGGAAACAATCTCAAGAAACAGAATCAGAGGATAATNTAGTTGGTTTCCATTCTATTTGAGGGAGGTGGGAGAGGAAATTAAGAGTCTGGACATTGAGGCCAGACCTGGATTTGAGTCGTTACTCTGCTGGTTATTGGCTTCACAGTCCTTGATGAATTAGTCTCCCTCTCTTTGAGCCTAAACTTTCCTAATAGCAATGACTATTTTTTCATTCATTCAATGAATAATGGTTAAGCACCTACTATGTAGCAGGTATTGGGGATACAGCCATGCACAAGAGTATCTGCTGTGTGCTGGGCTCTGCTTTTCATATATTGTCTTAGTTGATCCCAGCGACAACTATGTGCAGTCAGTTACCACCCACTGCAGTTTTTCAGGTTATAGGTCACAACTCATCAGTGGGTCATGAAATCCATTTGTGGTTTATATCCAGAATTTTCTTTATTAAATAGAATAGAATGTATCAGCAGGCAATGCATATCATAAGGATAAGAATTGTTTTATAAAACTTTTATTTCATGTATGTGTGTGTGTGTGTGTGTGTGTGTGTGTGTGTGTGTGTGTGTGTGTTTATGGGCACGCATGCGCAGGAGCAACTGCTTTGGATTCTGACAGTGTTTTCCTTTTGATACATTACAGTCGCAAAGGTCTGGAAAACACTGCTCTACAACACAAGTTCTTTGGGCACAGGGACTTCTTTGAACTGAGCCCGGCACATAATTGACACTCAATTTGTGGAAGCACTGATCCCATTTCATAGATGAGAAAACTGAGTCTTAGCAAATTGAAATAGCTCCCCCAAAGTCACACTGCTAGTGATTGGTAAAACAGGGATCTGAGTCCTGGTTTCAGGCTCCAGCTCTCATACACTTAACCATCATACTACCGTATCTTGCTGCTGTAAAATTTGGGGTAGTACTAGCATCCACCTAGAATTATTTTGCTAGCTGGGTGAAATAATAAGTGACTACTCTAGCAACATTAAAATGAATTGTGAAGGTTAGTTACCTCTCAAGCCACTTCTTTACAGTATGTTAGATGCAGGAAGACACAGACTTTGTCATGTTTGTTGTTCTCTTGGCACCTAGCTCCCTGCTTGGCACATAGTAGCTACCCAATAAATGTTTGTTGAATGAATAAATGGATCTGGCCAAGTTAGAGGTTTCCAGGCAGGGAGGGGATCAGCAGTCGGCTGTTAAAATCCAAAGCTGCCTACAGTAAGGTGCTGAGTCCAGGACACTGCTGTATCTTGCCACTTTCTGCTCCAAATGAGAGACTCTTCAAAATGTATAATGTGCTGAGACGTGGGGAGCCGAGGCTGGGATGTAGGTGGGAATAAGGGTGAAGCTACAAAGGGGAAAGCCCCACCAAAGCCAGTGCGACAGTATTGCACAATTTTTGTGGTCCATGTGAATGGCACCTCCTAGAATTGTGCAGTACGCAACCCAATACTCATCCCGGCTGTTGGGAGGGTAGTCAGGCCATTCATTTGCCCCTCCATCTCTGTGCACAGGACTGTAGGCAACAGAGACACGGAGGAAACCCCAAGGGGCTGATCTGTCCCTGCCTTTGGGCAGTTGCTCCCAGGACCAGAAGCAGCGGTGAAGAGCGGAGAGGATGGGGAGGCTGTTTTCCCTGACCTGGATGTCGATGGTGGCGGTGGTGACCTCTTGGTTCATTGGAGCTGCAACCACTGACTCCTCAGAAATGAGTAAGTGGTGTGTGTGTGTGTGTGTGTGTGTGTAGGGAGTGATGCTACCTTTTGCAGAGACAGTCTCAATTCCTCTCCTAATATACTTCAGATTCACATAGTCTTTTTTTTTCTTTTTTTCCTTTTTGTCTTTTTTCGTGACTGGCAACGGATCGCAACCCTCAGTGTCGCGCCCGTACTGGACCGGGACCGGCAACGGGATCGCAACCCTCGGTGTTGCGCCCGCACCTCGCTCAGCCAGTGAGTGGCCAGTCTGTATGTGGGATCCGAACCCTCGGCGGGAGCGCCGCTGCGCTCCCAAGCGGCGCACTGTAGCAGTGCGCCACCGGGCCGGCCCCAGATTCACATAGTCTTTATTCCAAGTCCATTTCTTATACTTTAGTGCGCATAGGATTCACGTGGAAATCTGCTAAAATGCAGATTCTGGTTCAGT